CAGAAAAATGTGACTTGGTACCGACGGGAGTCGAATCCGCGTCCTTGAAATTACGGGGCTATGTTCTAACCACTGAGTTAGGGCGACCTTCGGTCGATAAATTATGTATACAAATTTTGTTAAATAAACCTTATTCTCATAATACTTAGAGAAGAATGTAGATAAAGTGTTTATAGACGGGGGTTCGTCTAAAGCTACTTAAAAAAAGAAAAAATAAAATTTAAAATTTTTTTATTTCCGAACAATAAGTTCTTTATAGAATACTACAAAACTTCAATATAAAAGTGAGGCAAACTAATAATAAAGATAACCCCTCTTTCTTCATTTCTTTGCTTCATTGTATCACGTTACAGCTTCGGACCTTCGCGAAGACAATATGTATAGCTACGTTTAAACGGATTTCTTTTTTTACTTTTTCCTTTTATAATTACTTTTCAACTGTATAAATATACTTTTTACTTGTATATGAATAATTTTTAATCGCTACTATTTTACATCCATTATATCTTACTATTTTATAAATTTTTTTTTTATCATTTTTCATTTCATTATTTCTTCTAACTTTTTTTTAACCACCAGCTTTATATTACATACGAAGATTAATTCTTTTTAACTATCCAATCCCATTACAGTTTTCTTCGAACTGCAATATAGGGTCGCTACACAAGGTGGAGGTTAGTGGACATAAATTAGGATTAATTACCCAAGGGATTAATGGCAGCTTTTCTTTCCCAACGAAAAAATTGGAGACCCTGATATAATTCTTAAAATGCTGTTATTGAAGTAAAAATTATAACATATAGCCTTAAATTTAAGTTAAGAATTGAAGAATTACGAGTGACTGCTCTATGGCTTGTGATTCAAAAAGTTAAGACTTCATTTGGAAAGAAGTTACTCGAAACATTTATGAGCAAAATACACGAAAATTTATATAATGAAAAATAAAGGATGGTAAGTCCTTACAATAATTTGCCAACTGTTTGGACCACATTCCCAGTCAAAAAGAAGAGCAGTGCACGATTAAAATGTTAGGGTACTTCCTTTACTGGCCTGTATCCGAACCTTTAAGCCCTTTAAAATTTATTGTAAACAAATGTATATGTATATAGAGATGTACGGATGTGACTAAAACAAAAAAAGCACTAAAAAAAATTAACTCGACTGCCCGTTAATTTTTCGTGAACCTTCATTATATACTAACCACTAAGCAATGAAATAACCAAATTAATAATCATAAAAATTGTCTAAAAATGGAATTTGGGTTAAAATTTATGAACTGGGATTCTTTCCTCAATACCGCATTAACTTATCAAGCGTAAAAAACCCATGATTATCTAAAGTCATCACAATTATCACAGTACAATTGGCACAAGCTAGACTTATAGGTGTATGGTAACTCCTATAGCTATAAAAGGTCAACATCCGCAACTCGTTTTCGACCTCTTAGCCTGAGGCTCTTCAGGTATCCTTAATACATCCTGGTGTAAATCGCGATAAATTTGAGGGTTACTCTGCCCAATTTTTTGATAATCCTCTATGAACGAGCTAACTAAATGTTTCGAATTAAATGTTTTTTCATACAATAATTTTAATAATTGTCTCCAAATGGGCATCTTTCTCTGCTTCATCTGCTTCATCTTCTTGTGCCTGAGTTTCATTGTTTGTTATATGGAACACCGGGGTTTTTCCTTCACCGACTGATCTGCCATCAGCCGCCGAGGCGCCCAGCTCGTTCCATAAAAAAGCTTGCACAAGTTGCTGCTGCTGTTCGTAAGACATCCCACCAAAGGTGTATAGGTATATTAGTAAATGCAATTGTGAGGAATCACATACCTCAACCACTCTTGTTCACATGTAATAACATATGATTAATGGAAAAGAGACATTGAATAGATGTCACCGCATCAGACCAGGTTTCATGGGAAGATACTGAGTATTTGCGGATAAGCTGGAGCGGCGTCTAATAGTAGCGAACGAAGGTACTAAGATTGGGGATCTCGTAACCATAACATTAAGGATGGGTTATATAGAATGGTATCGCTTTAGATTTCCCATCCTACCAAAAACTGGAAGCCCACCTTAAGGGGATCAGGAAATCATTTCGAGTTTTAACGATCGCATTGCTTCGTTCCGATTTTTTAATTAATTTGCATTCTACGATAGCTCCCTAAGATAGACTTAATAGATGGTGTATTTAACTAAGTCTTTTTTTTTAAACTGATATAGCGGGATAGTTTTATAATAGCCGTCACTTACTAGCTAATTATAACAAAGACCTAGTACACTGGATTTACGTTCTTGTAGGTAAGGGATTACGTTAAATCGTGGTGAAATGATATTTTTAATGACGTATAAAAAGCATAAAATTTAAAGCGTCTTATTTTACTTTAGATGAAAGTAGGCTCCTACTTGGCGAACTAGGAAAACAAATTGTGAGATATGAGTTACCCACATAAAGACTGCAACCTTTTTTTATTGGCTTTCGTTTATATTTAAGTCGTATTAAGGGTTTTTTAAAAACTAATTTTAGGACTTTATAGTAGAGTTATACATAAAATTTTCAAAACTATTTATTTATTTATTTCACAATACGCCCTTTCAGGTAAAGTAGGAAAAGATATTGTGAAAGGGTGTATCCTGCACACACTTTTTCTCCTGTTAAAAATAAATCTCTTTACAATAGGTAGGTCTTTATTAAAGCTTTTTTGACATTAATTTTTGTTCTTGATGATAGTAGATACAAGTAAAAAAATTCAAACTATTTAGGTTAAAAAAAATTATTTATTAAAATTTTTCATAATTTAATTGTGAGTCTTCATGTGTTATAGTTAAGCTGGTACAAAGTTCTTTGAGGATAAAAAGCGCAAAAAAATTTGAGATTGAAGTTACAAAATGTTAGAGAGTCACTAACCTTAGATGAAAGGAGATCACCTTTTACCTAGGAAGCAAAGAACGTACAGTTAGATAGGAAATAGAAACTAATAGAGGGGACTAAGTTAACTAAGAGAGTGGAAATAGTATTAAGAAGATCGCAGAACAATAGGTCGAGGACAACAGAACTTAAATACGTAAAGATAGCGCTTTACTATATGAAATATAGCAAAAACCGACTAAATTCATATACCTCCAAGAGAAGAAAAGAAGATAATCATTTGCGTATTTATTAAAACTAAATAAGGTTAGTATATTATCATAGGCACTTGAGGTGTTAACTCTATTGGAACACTCGAATTATAATTTTAAGATAAACGAATTAAACTAATTAAAGCATCAGAGAGCGCTGATATGATGCTGTGCCATAACATCATGTGATGCCTGTTTAAAGGTTACGTAATATCGTAATTTCCTTTTCTTCAAGCATATAGAAAAAGTGAACCAATTGTAAGCTTCTTTATATAATATGTGAGCGTTGATACGAAGCAAAGGCTTGTACAGGTTATACAAATAACTAAGCGAAGAAGTTGTAGAAATTCCGTTCAAAAACTTAACCTTGGGTGTATAAAATTAAGCAAAACCTTGAGGGATAACTTCCCTGAACTCCACTTTGAAAGTGTAAAATTTAAACATGTCTCAACAATTTTATTAATGCATACTATCTTTTCCTTATATTGTCAATATTGAGCTTCCAGAGTAACAATATCGTCAACTTTTACATCCACCTTGTCCTAATGATATTTTAAAAAATTCAACATAAAAAAAAACTATAAAAAGACCTTTACTACTATTAATTAAAAAAGATTAAGTAAGAGCTCTGGTAGTATTAAGATGTGGCCCCGTAAAAGGTAGGCATCAACTATAATTTTTTTTCAATAAAGCTCGTAAACACTGTCAACATTTTTAACCTACAAAAATATTGAATAAACAATCTATACGATTAAATAGGCTCATATTAAATAATATTAATAAATCTATCTTAGTTAAATAAATAATTTTTTTAATTATTTATATAATAAAAAGGTTTTGCTATAAATTTTTGTGATTTTTCTATAAAAGTTAGAACTAAAAAATAAAAATTAAACTTTTACTTTTACGTAGACCTATTCCAAATAAAAATAACTTTTTTAAAAGACAGTTTCGCTAAAAAAGAATCGCATATTTTGGTTAGAAGGATCGAATAGAGCTATAGCGATTATATAACTAAAAAAAAAAGGGACGAGGACAAGCGTCATAGTTAATAAAAAAAAAGACAAAAGGCAATATCCTCTCTCAAGCAGATATGCTTACTCGTAAGTAAATATGAAATGAGGGTATGCTTAAAAAAATGAGATTAGTTATTATGGTTCTATGTCTGAAAAACAGAGAAACTTTAAAAAGTTAACAGGTATATATTGAGCTTTTTTGAGAAAAATTTGAGAAATAATTATGCTTCTGCCGTTGTTATCTTAATAAACATAGAATTCTTCTTTTTAATGCTTAGGCCTTTACTAGTCTAGAATGAGAAGATTCACTTAATTGTTTTTTGATTTTGTGTACTGACAATCTAACATGTTTTCTTGGTATCTGCAATTTGTTAGGTGGGGCCCATCGAAATAGATGACTTCTTCCACCAATACTATAATAACCAGTGTAGGTCGTCCTCAGAGAAAGTAGAAGTCTTGCTAACTATGTTGGTGTGTATTTAAAAATGTAAACTCTTTGTGAAAAACTTTTTAAAAACTTAACAGAGACGATGGTAAAGTTTTAAAATATCTGCTATCCTTGTATTAAAGGTAAGTTTGTAGCAAAAATACGCGAATTAACACTTTTAAAAAAAAATCATAGTAAAAAACATAAACTGCATTTTATTTAACATAACGTATTTGACTAACTTTTCCCTTATTCCCTTCAATAAGAAGATGCTTAAAATTTTTATCTCATTTGCCTTCCTAGTCAATTGGGGGTTTAGGGGGATTTGTCCTCATTGTGTTGCTCGGTAAGTAACAAAAGAGACCTTTTTCGCGGTAACATTTAAGTTTATCATCAAAAACACTTGTAAACGTTTCTGGCCAGGAATAGTCTCTCGGGATATTACAGTGAATTAATGACTAGATAGTAATAATGAGCATTTATAAGCCAGTAGATAGCCCGACTTATCGAAAACCGCGTATTGCGAACTTTGATTTAAGCAGAAGAAGGTAAGTTTTTTTTTCTAGTTACCCTTATTCTTTAAGCTTTTTAAACACTTTCTAATACTTATTTATTTTTATAAGATCCTTTACTTCTTGTTACCACCCTGATTCTCTTGACTTTGTTTATGATCCTCTTCTGAATTTGGGAATTGGTAGTCTTTATAAGAGAATTTGAGTGTTATTCATAATTAATATTATTTACCTTTACTAACTTGCTTACCTTAATAACCAAATAATCTTTTTCTTCTTCTCTCTTTTATTTATTCAACTAATAAAACATAGAATACAAAATAAAAAAAGCGGTTATAATCAAATTATATAAAAACTTTATCTATATCATTTTATTTATATTACGCTTCTTAATTACTTATAAATATGAAAGGTTTTACATAATTCTATTATAGTTTAATAAAGTTTGTTTATATAAATATTGTTTAATAAATCTCTTAATATATATAACGCGAAGCTTAATATATATATATTTTTATACTAGATTAACTGATTTTTGCGTAATTATAAATTTTTTTAAGGATCTCGAAGATTATCATCACCTTTGGATACATTCCATTCTAAAGATATAAATTCGTACTATCTTTTTTTTATCAAAAACTTTTAAGTAATCTAACCCAATTTAGCTTAATTATACGCGTTAACTTTTTATTAACCTTACTTTTAATATTCGTTGTGCCGTTTGCATCATTTCCTTTAAAAAATAATTTATATAAATTTTAAACTTTTTATTACTATTAAATTTTTGGCTTTGCTACAATTTATAAAGGAAATTTAAAATTAGCGATTGGTGTTATACATCAATAATATTATTCTTTTTCTTTGTTTTTAATTTTGCAAGTGTTAATCATTATTTATAAATTAGTGCTGATTTACTAGAGGAAAGATTATATTTAATTCTCCGCTCGCATAAACTTTTTACTGATATCAGTAATAAAGGTATTAATAAAAGATTTTAATAATTTAAAGTTTATTTGAATTCTGGATCGAAAATATTTTTAAAGTTATTTGAATAAATAAAAGAACAATGGCTTTTTCTAGTCTAAATTAAGTCTTTAATAGATAAATTTTAGCAACTTGGTAGAATCACTAATTTTATATTCAAGGACCTCTGATTGGTTATTTATGCAGAATGCTCTTGGTTTTGAACGCGTGCTCTATTTTTTTCTCCTTTTTTTACTTTTATGTTTATTAATATTTACTGAATTAAAAAACTTTTACTAATTCTACTTTTAATAAAACTATCCTCAAGTTTTTAGTAAATTATATATTTTTAATCAGAATTTGTTCGAGATATTGTTAGAAATTTTAAACTTCGATACTTTAAAGGTATGTTATTGTGTTTACTAAACTCAACAATATAAATTTCTAGTTTATTACATAATTATAATTAGCCAATAATCATAAGAATAAAATTTTCCCAAAACCTTAGATCTTATAACAAATAAACTATTTTAATAAATAATCAATAAAATATATTGAAAATATTAAAATGTAATAATAACTTTAACATTCACACGAATAAACTTATATCTTTCTTATATACTTTTAACATATATACTCTGCATGTGAAATATATAAAAAATTGTTTTAAATTATATAATATAATAATTATTTTACTAATTATTTACCTCAATTTATATATAATAATAGACTTTATTGTTATATATTTACTTTTATGAGTAAAATTATCAGAATATTTAAAATAAAATATGCTTTAACTGTTAATAATAAATAAATAATGGGAATTATCAACTAATAAGTAAATAAAGTCATTAAATATATATTTTGAGAATAATAATACATGAAAGTTTACTTTGTTACTTTTTACTAAGTTTTCTACTTTTTTTGTTTGCTTTTTTAATATAAATATCAAAAGTTATACGGAATATAATAATAAAAAAGGTAGTATATATTAAAATTTAAACACTTAAAGTTATTACTGAAATTTTATTTACTTTATTTTTAATAAAATTTTTTTATATTTATTAATTCAATGTGAAAGCATTTGTTTTTTATTACAGTAGCTACATTTTTTTATATTAAAGTTCATTATAGTTATTGTTTATTTTATATATAAATATAATAATAAACTAAAGGAAGTTTATAATTATTTATAACAATTATAACTATAACTTGTAAAGTATAACAATATTTCGTTTTTCGTTAGGCCCGGATCCGCCAATCATACGCTACGGAGATACCGGACGGGCCTTATATATTATTTTTTCAGGTCCTAATGGATTTTTGGTAGTAATATGATGAGGTTCGGCCCCAAATAATTTATTATTAGGGTCCGTTGAAGTCGTTTCTGCCGATAATGAAACTGTTTTGGCTATTCTTGAAGAAGTTTTTTATTTTTTATATTTATATACTTTCACACTTTTTTTGTGTAGATTAATTATTAACAAAATTTACACAAAGCAAAAGGGTTTTAGTAATTTTATACAATAACAGACACATACAACTAGTATAAGTAAGTTTTATTATTTATTATTTAAAAATGTTGAATGTATAATAAGACAATTTAAAAACATACTAATAAAATAAGAAAAAATCATTAACATTATCATTTTGAAGTGTCAATAGTATAATGTAATAATAAGTAAAACTTTTGTTAGGGCTCCTTTTTTGGGGAAATTGCTTTGCTTTTTTCAGTGGCGCGGACCGCCTCCGTGAGGTTGTTTACTATGATTATTTTGATCATTATAATGATTATTATTATGATTATTGTTTTTATCAAGGGCTATTAAGAAGTGTATATGCTTTAGTTTATCCAAAGCTCATTTTGATGAAATGCTTCAAAAGTATCCAGACGTCGCTCAAGTTTTTTATGAAACCAGCAAAGTTTTTCTTTTTTATTATGAATTACTTTTATTATTACATTTTCATAATAAACTTATTAATCTTTTTAATGTAGTAAAAATTTACTTACAAGTTTATAAATTTTTTGGTATTATTATTAACATGAATACGTAAAAAAAAACTTTAGTGAATTTTTTTAAAAAAATTCCTTAATCGCTGTTTTGTTTTTATTTACAATAACTTCAGTATAATAAAACTTTTAATTTCAAGTATTTTCTCTTTTTATACTTTTTTTATAAAAGTTATCCTGCGCCGGAAACGTTAATATTATTTTGGGTAAAAAAATTGTTAACAGTTTTAAAATATCCCATCAGATTAAAATTAAATTAAGCACCTTTAAAAATTAATAAAATATTAGAGTATATTTAAATGATGAGTTAGAAATTTTTAATGAATCAAAAAATTTATGATTTTATTTAAAAAATAGTAAAATAAGTACAATATAAATATATCAAAATAAGTGTTATAAAGAAGTATTAATATTTTTATAATTATAAATTTAATACGAAAAGAAAAATAATAATGAATGATATAAATATCCAACAAAAAAATATTTTGTTTAAGAAGTGAATTATTTTTGTCATTTATATCTAATGTAATTGGATTGTTATGACTGACAATTTTTTTTAAAGTTTTTCATAGAAAGTGCCAAAATGTTTTTTACTGGAAGAAAATATTGTTTAACTTTTAATAAGGATTTAGTTATTATTTCAATTTTTAGAAGTAAACGAAATATTATAAAAATGTTAAACTTCCTATTATTAAAAAATTTAAAATTATTGAATGAAATTTTTTAACTTTTTAACTACAAAACAATATAATTATAAACCAAATTTTGGAGTGTAATATTTATAATACAATTTTTAATTGGTTAAGAAAATCTTAAGTAAGTATAAATAATAATAAATAACGAGATAATTTTACTAATATAGGAAGCCATTAGTTTATAAAATATATTAAAAAAAACCGTAAAAACTATCATTATTAAAATAAAAAATTCATATACTCAAATTATTATATTTTTCTAGTAGAGAGCACTGACTAATCAGAGTAATAATAAAAAGTATTCAATATTTTAAAAAAAAATGTTTCATCATTAAGATTATAGAAATATTATATAAAGTTTTTAAGTTAAATGTCAATAAAAACTTTTTTACAATAAGTAATAAAATGTTCTGTAAAACTACAATTTCAGTAATTTTTAGTAATTACTATGAAAATAATAGTAAAAATTAAGTAATAAAAATTCTATTTTATTCCATAAATTTATAAAAGTTTTCAGTATATAACATTAATTTTAATAATGATACTAATAAAAATATTATCATTAATACTAAATATGAAAAATAATGAATACTATTTTTAATATAATAAAAAGAAAATTAATTAATAATTCAAATAAAAATACGTTAATAAAAAAAATAATAAATTTCTCTACTGAAGTAATAAAAATTTATTAAATATGTATTATTGAAAAACTGAACATTTTTATTTATAATAAATATTGAATATATTTTGTTGTATTTACAGTTAAATAATAACATATCAGTTTATAATAGTAATTATATAATACTTGTAGAAACAAACATCTTTTACTTTAACGTACCAACTTTACTATGATTTTTTGTAAAATTATAACAATAAATAATATTTATGAATATATAATATATATTAACTAAAATTTGAATAAAAAAAAAATATTCCTTAAAAAAATTATTTTCCATATTTAGGAACGATTTGTTCAATTTAAGGAACGAATCGAAATGATAGAAAACGAAAGGGAACAAACAATTCGACAAATCAGACAAATATTACAGATGGTAGGGGTTATTATTTCATTATTTTTATTGATATTATTTTTTAAGGCGGTTTCCATTTTTTTTATTATGATATTTTTTTATTTCTTTATATATTTTTTATACCTTATACGTTATATTCTAAATTTCTAATACTTTTTTTCATCATTTTTATTTGTTTTTTTTATTCCTTTATAAAAAGTTTTACTATTTTATTTATAAATTTATAATATTTCATTTTTCTTTATTTTGTTGCTTTTAATTTATTGGTGTGTTATTGGATTTTTTCATTATATTTTCTGTTTTATTATTTTATAAGTATATTTTTTGAATTTGTAATAATTATGATTATCTTTATATTCAATAAAACTTTAACTATTGTTTCATAATTTTATTATAAAGCAAAATATGCATAATTAAAGTATTTTGGTTCGTAGACATGTTGAGTATTTTTTTAGAAAGAATAATAATGATTAAAAAAATAATTTTTCATTATTTATATTTCTAATGCGTAGCACTTAAAATATTTTTATGATACCACTTATAAATGAATTCTTATATAAAAATGTTATTATATTATGTATCATTATTATTAAGTACTTTTATTATTTATTATATTTCTATATTATTCCTGCTTGCTTAATAATAATATTAATTAAACAAAATTCGGTTGTGTGTTTTAAAATCACTATTTTTTTTTTAATTTCATTAAATTTACTGAGTTGCCGGAAATATTTATTGTTAATTTTTATAAATATTATTTATTCATTAACCTTTTATTATTTTTGGTCTTCTTTCTTATAAAGCTTTATTAATGTAATTGACCAATTATGAAGGTTCCTCGGATTAAACATTGCAACATTGGCTTCTTACACGTGTTGGCCATGAAATTGGCGACTGAAGTACTATTTGCAATCTTAGCTGTTTTTGTTTTGATTGGATTTTTATTATTTTTTTTTTTTTATGGAAGTTAGCAGCGCCACTTCAGCGAGAACTTGAAAATTTTACTATTTTTCAAAAACTAATCATTTTTATTGGTGGAAACGTTTCTATATTGGGCACTGACAAAAAAGTAATATTTGATAACTAGAAAATTTCAACTGTAAAAAGTATATTATTTAATATTTTTATAGCAAATCGTTTTAAAGCTTTATGAAGACTTTAAAAATAAATGCCTATAACTTTTTATGAATAATGTTCTTATAATTGTAATACATTCCCAGCAAAAACTTTCATTGGCTGTAGGAATAGTCCGTTAATTTGCCGTAGTAGTTAGTTTCATGGGCTGTTACTGACCAACAGACAAAAGCGGTCCACTACTCGCCGTCGTCGTACTCTCTCTTAATTTATTGGATGATTAAGTGTGACACAAGGTTTTTCTTCTGATGTTCGGAAATTACGAATCGAGCGATGCGAAAACTGTAATTGAAAAATTAAAAGTAAAGCTCACACGTGACAGATGGCGCTGGTCATTGGCTACTTGCCATCAATAACTTCTTTTTTTCTGTCACGTTTTTTAGCAATGAACATTTTTGTTGGGGTCGTCTTCAGGCATTTTAAAGGCGAAAACTTACTATAAACGTTGAGCAGTTCAGAAATTGAGTTTTTCACCAACCCAGCAGACGATTACGGCTTTTAAAGAGCTCGCTATTCGTTATTGAGCTAGCAAACAGTCAGTTAGCCAAAACGGATTTGGAAAGGCAAGAGCAACAAAGTAGTTCCCAGTTAGAGTTTTCTTGAAAGCCTGTAATTAATTCTATTGGCTCGCGGTAAGCTGTTATGGCGGAGTGCAGGGCAATTGCAGCAAAGCGCGAATATACAAAACCTTGAGTGTAAAATACTTTCCGGCGTATATTTTAATGATTATCTATTATCAATATGATATAAAAGATTGTCGCTGAAATCAAAGGCGCTGGCTATTTTGGAGCTCTTTTTAATAGCAGTAAAAATAGTGAAAAATACACAGCAGTTATGGAGTCAAACTGTCTGATTTGCAATTTAACTCTTGAAGGTTGTTGTGTGCTACACTTCATTATTATTGTTACTACTAACAATAAATTTTTTAGGCATTAAAAAGTTGTTTCCTTTATATCCAGAAATAGAAAAACAACTTAAGGAAGACGTTCCTTTACTGGTGCTGCATTATCATTAAAATTATTAATTTGATTGTTAACACAATATAAATAGAGCGTAGAAAGAGAGCCTGCTTTAAAAAAAGCCGTATCATGCATCGGTGAATGTAACTTTTTGTACAGTTTCATATATTTAGTTAATGATAATAACAATAATACTAATGAAAAAAAAGCGCCCTCGCTGCGTTCCACAAGTGGTACTCACGAGAAGCCGCTCTCCTCACTTCGTACCTATTCGCTGGACTTCCACACACTAAAAAAGTTTTCGCGCGTAAATATTACATTGGAAGAAGAAATGAATAAAATACCATCTAAAAAACTCGATAAAAAACTCATTAAAAGAATATTATCCTCCCTACCAACCGCGGATCTGCTTCGCGTTATAGTTGTATCAAAACTGTGGAAATCCATAATCCTTTCTTCAAGTTTACTATTATTATTATATATAATACAATTAATGAAAACTCTAATGTTTAGAAAAAGTTTGGAAACGATTTTATTGGGAAATGGCCCAATTGCGCCTTGATGATTCGTTACTTTACTATTATACAGACATTATAAAAAAACTCCATAAACAAATCGATGAAATTTCATTAAAAGATTGCTGGTTGCGTATTATTAATATTAATTTTAACGCCAAATTTTTATTAAAAATCAATAATTTATTTCATTTTTATAAAAAATTTTTGTTTTTTAAAGTTTAATAAAATTTATTAATAATGAAGGGAACTTTCCGAGGGCTCTATTATTTCATGCTTTCAGCAACTCTCTCCTAAAAAAGTGGACCTTTTCGGTTGTTGGGGTCTCACATCGGGCGTCGTTTCTTCGCTCAGTCACTCATCTCCTGGATTGACCCATTTACGATTGACTGGTGCATTCTTTTATATTTGTAGCAAATTAAATGTGTTTTGTTGGTTTTTAAGTTATTGCTACCAATTATTTGCCTCATAACTGACATTTGATGCAATAAAACTTTTTGGTGATTAAAATATCTTTAATGGCTACGGAATATTTTTATACTTGTAAGACGCTTTCTTTAGCCGTTTACCGCTTTATTTGCTGCAATGTAATAAACAGTAACTAAATTTTAATATAAAATCTCTACTGATTCATATTTATGTAGTTGTAGCAATGAATGTTGAAAATTTGCTCTTTAATTGGACAATACTGTAATAGTAACACTTTGCTACAATTTAGTGGGTAGTGTACTTATTTGGCTGCTCCTCCTATAATCCTGCCGGTTTAACCAATAGATAAGTCTTCTTTTGTAAACCGAATCACTTTGGAAGACATAAGTTAATTCAGTAATATTTATGCTCAGGTAAAATGGGGCGTCATTATTATTCACACACCAATCGTAAGTACTACATATCCTTAAAAAGGAACGTAAAAATATAACAATAAAAAATGTTGACATAAAAAAACATTCATAACTCTTGCATTTTTTAACCAATAATAATTATCAAAGGATGCCGAAAAATTGGCGATCAAGCATTGGTGGATATTGCAAACTCGTGCTTGGATTTGCTGTCGCTCGAAGTGGGCCATTGCAAGAATTTATCTGAAGTATCATTGGAGTACATTTTGGTAAAAAAAAAATAATTTTAAGAAAAAACGCTAATTGAACTTTTTTTCTATAAATATAATAATTAAATAATAAAAATTTGCTAATATTTTTATAAAGGCCAGATGCCGTCTACTAGAAAAACTCAGTGTTCGTCGCTGTACAAGTATATTATTATATATATTATTTGTTTAGTTTTTCTTAACTAATATATAAAAACATTATTTTTTTCTTTACTTCTCTTCACTTTTGAATATTTTTGATAATATCTATTATTGTTTTGTGGTTGTTCATCTGTAATTAGTTTCTTTTTTATTATATATAGTAAAAAAAAAAATTTATTACTGCGTTAACTCCACTATAATAACTTTCATAATATATTCTGGTTATTGCTTTTCATTATTAATTTTTACCTTTTTTAATTTCACTCTCACTAAAAAATGACGCTTTCTCGTTGTATATCTTTATTGTATATAAAAGATTTTTTTTTTACCTCATTATTTTATTTTCGGTTGCTAAAAAATTTTTTATATTTTATCTTTTATAAATGTCTATATTATTTTTTAAATTTATATATTTAGTTTTCATTAGCTTTTATTTGTTATGAATATATACTTTTTCAAGGCATTTCCTCTTCTTCGTTTCTTCACTTTCGACGGTATCCAGCTAATAACCTGAAGTTTCTTGATCTTTCGGATTGCTCGTTTCTAAAAGATGACGCTATCGAGGCCGTCGTTGTGGTTTCCCTTCTTAATCACTATATTTATTGACACATTTTACTTTTTATATTATTATTTAAACCACTCCCCATTAATTTAGTGAATTTTTCTTAAGATAGAGTACGTTTTATTCTCCTCAGTTTTTTTCGTTATTTACATTTTTATACTATAATTATTTATTGAAAATATTTAGAATTTTCTGTCTGGCTGATGTTATTATTATTAGAATATTTTTCTATTTTTTCAAAATTTATGTTTATTATTATTTCCTTTTAATTACTTATTATTAAACTTATTTATCTTTGCGTTTCCTTTTCCTGCAGAAATTATTACTCAAAATTAAAGTTTTTCTATTTTTTTAATATATAATTATTAACTACTTTATATTTATTATCAATTAATTCTATAATATTTTCTTTTATATAGATACTATGTTTATTTAAATAATTTTATTAAATTATATATTTATTTCATATTATATATTTTAATCTTTATATATTGGTTATTAGTATTTTTTAGCAAAAATTATTATTAAAAGTTTTTTTGTTTGCTTCAACATTTGTTTATTATTATTTTATTAACTGTAAGTATTATTTTAAAAAATAAATAAATATACTATATGTCATTAACTTACTATAATTTTTGATATTTTTTTTTCCAATTTCATATTTTATATATTTTTGTATATGTTTTTATTAAAAGTATATTTTCTTTATTTTTTATATCCTATACTCGTTTCCTTTTCTTTTTGGAACGTAAACTTTTTATTATTTATCATGTTTACACCAGTGTTATATCTATTTTTCATACTTTCCTATTTTGTTTTTTACATGAAACTGTTTAGGGCTGCCCAGAACTGAAAACTCTTCTTCTTTCCTTCTGCGAAGAGTTGACTCCGTTGGTCATGACTTTCATTGCAGGCATTATTATTATTATTATTACTGTCATCTTTATAATTATAATTATAATTATTAGAAAACTGCAAAAATTTAAAGAAGTTAGACATGTCTTCTTGCAATAAAGCAATTACTGATGAAGGTTATTATTATTATCACTTAATATAATTAAGATTACTACTATTATCACAAAAGGGATAAGAAGATTAACAGTTTCAAATAGCTTAAGAAGGACGTTAAAAGGTTTTTATGTAATAATTAAAAAAACAAACAAAAAAATTTTTTTTTAATAAAAAGTTTTAGTTCTTCGAAGTTGTATAGCTTTTTCACCAATTAGTCTTGAACTTATTGATGAACATTTTCCCGGTAATAAATAATAATAATAATAATAATAATAATAGAAATAATAAAATCTATTTTAGAGCTCAAAGCTTTGGATATTTCAACGTGTAGACTTATAAGAAAGTTTAGCGTTCATTCTGCAACGCAAACTAAAACTGTTTTGTATAATAAGAGATAAAATAAAATAGTGAAAAAGATTATAGAGAAAAACAACTTTTTTTTATTATATTTTTTTATATTTTCTTGCTTCATTTATTTATATATTTTATGCTCCTCTGTAAATTTGTAAATTTATTCCTATATTTCCATTGCACTTTCATTACGAGCTAGAGGCCTGAAAGAGCTAAATGTTGGGTACTTTGTACCGCGTTGAAAAGTAATATAAGAAATCCCCTAAGTAAATGCAACTGCCTTGTGTAGATTCTACTGGCTTTTATTTTTTTAGCATTGCTCTCAAGTAGACTCATTTTATAATTCCTGACGACCATAAAACTTAGAGAATCTACCAATAAGTTCAGTACTTTAAAAGTTCTTTTTCAGTATTTGTTCAACGTAGGAAAAATAATTGAAGATATAAAGATATATTATGAGTAAATTATTACAAAAAAAAGGATAAGTTATAATATATAGAGAAAGTAAATAAAGATAGATACATAAAATATATAAAAAAGCTATATTATATAAAGAATTCCTATATTCACTGCAGTAACCGGAATCTCAGCGCGTGCTAGCTAATACTAGGAGAGCTGCGATTAGCGGACAAGCCCGATACATAGAATGACCTACCCATAGTGTTGAAGGGTCATTGTTTATTATGAGCGAGTACTGTAAAAAATGACTCTTGAACTCCATCGTTTCCTTTCATTTTCATTCTTTTCTTTCCTTCTTTTGTTTGTCTGATAATTTTAGTTCCCTTGTAACATCGCGGCCTTACTAACAACGTTCTTAGGTAAAAGTAACATTAAAAATAAAAAAGAACTGGGTGTAAAGTCTCTATAATGTTAAAAATATATAATAACTTTAACTGTAATAATAAAAGTTATACGCATTTTGCTGTGACGTCCTTACGTGAAATGCCTTCAATCTTATTAAGAAAAAAAAATTAGACCAAAAATGCAAATACAAGCATTATTTTTGGTACGTTTCGCGGGCTATAATTTTCGATCCCACTTTCCTGTGCATAACATTTTCAATGAGTTGTCTGATAAGCTATAATAATAGTAAAACGTGCTTACCAATGACGAGATTCTTTAAGTTTTACATATATTTTTCTGCAAGCCGAAATAATAAACAAACAAATAAGTGTTTCAATTTTTGTAGTAATCTAAAAATTCGTAAAAATATTGGTAATTTCATAATTCTTTTTACGTGTAAAGCTTGCTTCGTATAAAATTCTATATATTAATATTTTTGCTAGAAAGGACCGTAAAAGAATAGAATGTAAAATAATATTAACTTTCATTATAATGGAAAAATAACACAGTAATAAACAACTTTTATACCGGGATTCGCGTTAACTACACTGGTGAGTGTATCAACTCTTTTTCCTGGGGGTTCCTGGGGGTTAAATAACTACTTTTGCTAAGTAAACTGCATCAAAACCAGAATTTTCAAAGTCAAAAATAAAGTTAATGATGATATTAATAATAAACATTATTTCCGATTTTTCTATTCATTAGTGATTTTATAATATAAAATATTATAAAGTTTTTTTTGTTTAACGTTTTATACTTATACACTTTACTTACTCTTCAATTTATTGAATTTCAAAAAACTCGTAATTAAAATAACAGTAACAAACCTTACATATTATAACTAAAAAAATAGTTAAAAATTATAATGCATATTTATAATATTGTACTGTAAATATTATAAAAAAGTATCATAAAAATAGTACGCAACCTCGCATAGTCCATAGGACGGACTTCACCTTGCTCTGAAAGTTTGTTATCTATAATAATATCAAAACTATAGTAACAGCAGCACTTTAGCAAAAGGAATTCTAAATTTCAGTATAACTTTTCCTTCATCCATATAATGAAGTTGTTGTGGGTGTGGCTCGTATCTCCTATCAGTGAATTAGTGGATACGCTTATTAAAATCCCTGTATCATTATATTTGCTATTACAGTCACGCGGGCAACGAACTTTCCCAAATACTTTCCGGGCATATGATGATACCTATAACCTTTTTATTTTGGTGGGATAACCATATTATAATATATCTTGTGGTCTGGAAGAAGTCTTTGTTATTAAATGAATCAAAAAAAAATTTATAAAAAAAGCATAAGTGAAAAAATTGCCTGGATTTTCTCCAAGCACAACGCCACCGTTTCTGAGGTTCAATTTATAGGAAACACTATTTTTATTGTGTTTACTATATAACCGATCATAGATGTTGCACGTAAAACGGGGGCTTACACAAAGCAACAATTACAATAACTTTAATTAAAAAAACATTCCAAGTTAAGCCGAAAGTTTAATGGATAAAAAACTACTTTGTAGAAGTCGTTAGAACAGTTGCGTCAAACTCTTCTTCCAGCCGTTGAACAAGAATTCCATATTTAGAGTTCCTGCATGTCATAATAATAACAATTGTAATAATAATGATAAAAAATAATAATTGTCCAAAGCCGCGCTGCTTGATTATATATAAATATGCATGTAAAAGTGAAATAGTAAAAAGAAAAGCATCACTATCGAAAAAAAATCAGGTAAGTGCCACCTTAGCTGCTGCTGTGAGTAACGCTGTTGGCCGTCAGTAGTAACTTGGACAGGTCTGCTTTTAGCCTATTATACGACGAGCTTTCCACGGGATACGTGCCTGCAAATACCTTCAGTTATAATGATCATAATAATAATAATAGCCAAAGACTTTGGCTTTTCAAAACCTGTAAAGGGTGCATCTAAATGCTCGGGGGGGAAAAAACGTATCACCTTAGTACTATTATCACTGTTATTGCTATCCGATACATATTAAAATATATTAATAACTAGGCTAACGTACCAACTTTTATTTCTTTTGTATTTTGAATATTAGCAAAAATATAGCCAACTTGTCCAGAATCTCTATAAATAACAAAAAATAATAGATACTTAAAAAAAACTTTAAAGAAATAACTTTCGTCGGTATATAGTCAGGAGATAGCACGCCAACTTTACAGACTTCATATTTCTTCCGATTCGCAAATGTCTGTATAATATAACCTTTCATTGGGCATAAGAAGCTCTTTTTTTTAAGGCTCCATTTTTAAAAATATGAAACCTTCGCGCACTGCTCCTCCAATCACTTCGTTTAGCATGCCCACGCCACGGTAGCTGTCGAACCAAGTGTCACACAGTAAGCCTTTAAAAGGAGTGTCTGGAGGGTTGCAGCGCAACAGGAAAACTTTTTGAGTAAATTAAGCAGATTTCTTTTTTACAACACGAATTACCAGCTGATACGCTCCACAACAGGCAGGAAGAATGGCTTCAGTGTCAACTTTGGTTTTTCGCAGAGCACTAAGGGTGCAGAAAAAAGTAACGCAGATATAATACTTTTTTTAAGTAAATCAGAATAAAAGATTTAAAAATTACAAAATATGAAACTCATAAAAAGATGAAGTTTCTTCTTTTGTTATAATTAATTTGTCTTTATAAAAACTTACATATTAATACTGCAGAGCAAATAAAAACTCACTGTCCTTAAAACCAAAAGGAGCTTGCGTCTGACTTTTCACTCTTGCTATATTTGCAGAAGAATAGCAATCTTGAAATGCAGTTAACAAATTTTTACTTTTAAGAAAGATTTAAGTATAGAAAAAAACCAAACTTCAAATTATTATAACCACCGAATAGAAATCAAAATAACACTAAGTTCTAGAAAAATGTGTATTCAGTTTAGTTGAAGTTCTTATAAAAATCGTATAATTCGTAAATGCCCAAATTTAATAAAAATTTACTTAAGAAAATTTGAACAAATAAAAAATAAAATAAAATTCAAATTTTGTATATAAGACACTTTATTAATTACAGGAATTAAATTTTAATCGGCTGCGAAGGCCAAATCAAAGTTAGCAATCGTTTGGTCTCGAACTCCTACGATATAATAATAATGATAATAATAATAATAATAATAATAATAATGATAATAATAATAATAATAATAATAATAAAAGCCTTGATTGGCAATCATTGATAAAAGAGGGCCTTGAAAAGATCTCCAAACTTTGTAATGTAAATGGACATGTTCCTTGACTATCATACTTACGATAAAAGTAAATTTACAAAATTTACTATTTATGTAACTCCGTTAATATTTATCATCTAAAATATAAACTTGAGATTTTTGGAATAAATCTTAAAAGATAATAATTAAGAAAACATTAATGGTGAAAATTGCTGATAAGAAACTTATTAGCAGGTCTACAGGAAGTGAAAAAAACCGGAATGTCAATTAAGTTAAGCAAGTAATCATCTTTATACTTTTAAAACAACGAACATGTCTGCGCCTACATGATGCCTCTTGCGTGTACATATATATTAAATTATTTAGTTTCCATTGGGGTGGGGGACTATTAACTAATAGAGAACAATTTTTTTAAAAAAATAAAATATGTTATCACCCTAAAGTTTTATAAAATTTATAAACTGACGCTTTTTTTAAACACATCTATATATAATAATAAACTGTAACCCTAAAGATACTATAAACTTTTAAATAACAATTTTTTTTAACTATTATATACATAAATAATATAAATCCTAAAAAATTAAAATTTATTAAATAACTTTTTTTAACCAAAAAAAATTATGTAAACCTGAAGATATTTTATTTTTTATTAGACGATTTTTACTAAAAAAATTAAAAAAAACCCAAAGTAAATAGAAAAAATACTTAATTAACGATAATTAAGAATAATAATTAGTTATAAAGCTTGAATACGTTTCAAAAGGTAAGTTTTCTAAAACTTCGTTATTTTGACTAGAAGCGGGTATTACCTCTTAAAAAGTTTAAATAAACTATTTGTATTTAAGCAAAATTTTGTTCTTTTGATATTAAACTTTTAAAATATCCAATAAAATTATATAATAGTTAAAATAAAAAGATGAGTTCTAATAAGTTATAAATATATATGAATGTAAAAAAAGGAAGGAACCTGCCAGCTCTAGTAAACGATCGGCTACCGGATTTTTGAAGTGATCAACATGAGCAATTATACCAAAATTTCTAATCTTTTCTCTTGAATATCTTTCTAGATTAAACGGGTATTATAGTTTGACCTGAAAATAACTAAATTTTTTTTCAACATTTTGAATTTAATATTAATTATAATAACTATACAAATGTAACAAACTTTATTATTTTAAATATTCCATATATACCTAACTATGCTAGTGGCAACGTAGCATACTATAGAGTTTCGCAAGTGACTCCTGGAGTTATACGAACGCTTACTTGCGCACAAATCATAGTAAGCGGTCTGCGCTCAACTACCGGGCATGCAAGTCTTTAATAGTTGTAAAATACAATAAGATTTTTGTTTTTTAGTATTGTAACTTATGTTCAGTCTATAGGACTGAACTTAGTGTTGTTATTAGCTGTCTAAAGGATAGTTCATAAAGGAGAGCTTAACATCTACAGGGCGTGTAAATTAATAAATGTTGGTAGCGCCAAAGAAATATTATAAACAGATATGACCTTTTTTTAAACATTAGCCCGCTTCATATACATGCGAGAGCATTTTCTACTAACTTCCAATCCTAACCATTTACAAAACTATATATAACTTATTTCTCGGCGCCCACTTAGCTGTTTTCTAATTAAATAATAAACATTCATGTCCTTAAGAACGGCTATTATCGTTTCATGCCATACTGGCGCTTGTATCTACCATTAACAAATCTAAATGGTGAAACGTATTGTGGAATTCTTCATACATTAAATTGCAAAGCACATTATTTGCTTCATTTAACCCTTTATCATTTTTTAAAGTAGTGAGTTATATTTATTTCTTGTTCAAGTCTCTTACCTCCTTGTTTAACACAGTAAAAAAAAATTTGTTTTTAACCGTGTCTAGTACTTAAAGAATTTGGTTTTCAGGTTCAATAACTCTCTTTCGCCTTAGGTCGTTCTTTTCATTTTTATTATCTATAATACCAACATAAATTCCTAAAAGATTAAATTATCGTAAAACTTAGCTTTTTCTTTTCACTTAAAACTCACTTTATTACTCCTTATTGTAAGCAGGAAAGTTTATTTTTTTTTTCGGTAAAGTGGTGTTATAACAATAGTCACAACCCTTATTTCTCTAAGCTTTATCGTATAAATTCTTTTTTTTAAAAAAAATGGTTAACACTTCATAACCACTATCAAAATTTGTATAAAACGTACACAATACAGTCAGTTAAAGCCAGGACCAATTCATTGACCAGTTTTGGTCTTCATTTATTACCTTTACAAAAGGTCGAAATACGCTTTTATATATATACAATAAATTTAATTGAACCAGATAAAATTTTACTTTGTTTATATCCAATTAATAAGGTAGGCCAGTTAAATTTTTTGTGTTGATAAATTTCTCTTTTCTTGTGTTTATATTGGTTGTTTCTCAGGTTTCTGATTGGATTAACCACGGATTATTTTTCCTGTGAAAATTTAAGTTACTGTTTTGTGTGTTTGTATGTGTTTTATGGTTGTATACTTTATACTTAATTTATTACATAACATGTTTTTGTAATCTATGTTTTTTTTTGTTTTTCTATTTGTGTTTTGTGTTTAGTATATTGTGTTTTTGTATCTTTGTTTTTAATTGCGTCTGAGGAGTTGTGTATACTGTGTTATTTTGTTATACTTCTATTTAGCGGGCAGATAAGAGAATGCAATTTGAACTGAAAGAAATAAAAATAGAACTTTGTTTAGACTAATAAAGGGCAGAATGTGCATTGAACACATATTAACAATATGTACTAACTAATCTTTCAAACAATCTCTAGTATTCCAAGGATGGGTGCGACTCTCTTTTATAGATGTATTATTCGGTTCATGTTGTGTTGCATTATCAAGAGTAGCACCCGAAAGTTGTTGTTTTAATATATTTTTTTGTATTTCAGACTTTAAAAGAGATTGAAATGGGTATTTAGCGATACTAATGGGGAAGCAGGCCTTAAACTATTGCCACTAGTAGATTCTGTCGGTTTACAAAGAAAAATGTCACCAAGTGCTAGATCTTGAGATCTCTTCTTGAATAAAGGATCATAAAATAGGAAGAGATTTTTAAAAATAAAGTCAGCTGGATATAAACCAAAACTTCATTGGATGATCACTTTCACTCTTTTTTGGAATATCATGTGTAAAGCTTCACTCCAAATTTTTTTTTAATGTTCAGTGTATTTTTATATTAAACGTATTATGTTACACATAGTTAAATGCTTCTCTCACACAGCATGTACTTCTGTGTATCAATAGGTACTGTCGACAATTAAACACCTGCATTTTGAAATTTCTTGGACAAGTTTGTTTTTTATTAATTCACCGCCCTTGTCGGTTTTAATTTTCTCAGATAGAGCAGCATTGGTAGTTTCATTTATTTTTAGACTTTTTAAGTTTTATTGTGTCTTTTTACCCAATGTATAAAAAAAAATTTTTTAATTTCATGTTTACATTTCGCATAGATAATGGTTACTCGTTTATTCTAAAATCGTTGATCAACGTATATTAATTATTTTGGAGAATGTCAATTGTTAGGTTTGATTATAGTTAACAATCTTCTTCATCTTACATATTTAACAGAGCTCTTGAATTCTAATAATTTTCTTATAAGGTTAGCTAACTTGACCAAGTCTCAAGTACTCTCCAGGAATGATAGAATTACACTTTATAACATGTTGTAGTCATTGCTATACTTTATAACCATAACTATTATTAAGAAATGAGACATTCCCTTCCTTACCTTGATCATATAATGTTATTTTTCTCAGCAATAAATACTTTATTTTATATAGGGCAGATTTCAATTATTTCTCATGTAATTTACCTACCTAATTAAAATTATGTACAATATTTTTAACACGAAATGACATTATCACGGTATAAAAAAACACGTTTATCATATCGGTCATTAATCAACAACTCTATTTTTAATGATATGAGGATATGCGCCAGTATCAACAACTAGGAGCTAAGTAGAGCCAAGATTTTTGTGTTAAGGCAAGCCTCTTTTCCATATGGCCTGTTTTTCAACAGACCTTGCCTGTTATGTAAATAATGGAAGGTGAATTCTCAACTGCTTACCTTGACAGGTTTTGCAGGATAGGAGTCGGCCTTTAAGAAGTTTGGAAGTTCCTTTTTTTCATGTAAGTGTTGATAAGAGAAGATATTTTAGGAATAAAGCAGTAGAGTTGTTTTCGACTTTGTGCCTGTTTTCAGCTAGCAGTAGGAGACAGCGCATGTCGGTAATCTAAGTATTCCGTGTTATTACTCTAATACTGTCTTAATGATGTAAAAGCAGAATTTTTTTCTGAATATAAGGGCTACAATTAAATGCAAATTCGTAATTTCAACGGTATAGCTTTTATGTTGAGGAAAGAGATTCCAGCTTATAAGTCTTAACGCAAATTACCATTTTTAGGCATTTTCATGATTATCATTGATTATTTCATTGCTTTGTTTTAGTATATAATGAAGGTTCATGATAAATAAAACGGAAGCCGTATTAAGTTTTTTTCAGCGCCTTTTTTGTTTTAATCACATCTGTACATCCCTCTCTCTATATATATACCTGTTTACAATTAATTTTAAAGGGCTTAAAGGTTTAGATACCGGTCGGTAAAGTTTAAATACCCTAACAACAGTTTTTATACTTTTTTTCAGTTCTTTGTTTTTATATAATATAGTTTGATGGGTGTTCTTCCCACTAAATACATCTGTCACGGAGAGAACGTCAGTGTATAAATAAACAAAAGTTTTTTAGCTTTATATTAAAAGCCCTTATTTAATAAGAACTTAACTACAAAATTAGATTAAAAACTAATTTAATTATCAAAAAAGGATTTACTTTAGCGCAACCAATATTAACCGGTTCTTCGAATCTGTTTTTAGTACGACGAATAATTACTATAAAAAATGGTAATAACCGTGGAGGCCATTTCTACTACACACGCTGGAAAAGTTTGTAGAAACGGGCAAAGCCTTTCCAGAATTCCCAATTTGGATTCCAAAGAGGTTACTTAACATAACGACTTTTGTGCTTTGTTGAGTGGACGACTCGGAACTTAGATTTTAAGACATCCAGGGTGCGTCTTTTTCACATTAAAAAGGCCTTTAACAGCGTATGGTGAGAGGGTCTCCTGCGCATACTACGCACATTAAGTATTCCCTTAGGCCTCTACAGCATGAGTAGTTTCTATGCGGCCGCCTCTTCCAAATGAGAGTTAAGGCTGCGCTGGCGCCATACCGTCTCGACTACATATGCGAGATATTCCACTCCCCACGAACCCTTACGGCCGCGTTGCTCTCTATGCCGGTGACACTGCAGTTTATGCATCCTCAAGGAGCCCTTCATTATTACAGCAATATCTGCGGGGATATCTGGAAACTGGTGCGGTAGTGGGGTAGTGGGGCGTACACCTTACTGGAACTAAAGTAAAGCAATCCTCATCTCAAGAAGAGGCATTACGGCACTCTCGCCTCTAACCCTCGAACGTGTTAAGATCCCATGGGGCTCTCACGCCAAATACTTGGACATCGTCAACTATAAGCGACTAACTTAGAGGAAACACGTAGAGTTCGTTGGGACTAAGGTCAAAGCAGCAGTTCTTGCACTCTACCGGCTGCTGTGTGCTAAAAGCACAATATCCCTGTGCAATAAACTGCGCCTTTATAAAGTATGCTCCGCCCTATCAAAATCTACGCATCTGCGTTGCTTGGACATATGAAAGAACGCCGACGATTGCACCCCTCCAGAAGCAGCAAAACAGGCTTCTGCGACTAATGACCGGCACAACATATTTCGTGCTGCACGATACCTTAAGACGATCTGGGTTTGGAAGGACTTGAAGACTTTTCCATAATGCACCTTCAGTTTCTTTTGAACGTATTAGTAGGCATCCAAACCACCAGTGAATTCAAGAAAGCTCACGCTTTCGAAACCCCCGTGATGCGCTTTAAGCGCGCAATTACAGTTTAGTTATACCTTTAACACATATGTGGAAAGATTATTATGAGAGGACCTGAGGAAAACTGAATTCGGTCTAAGTTTAATATAAATTATTTCGGAGATCAAGCAGTCTGCTCTCGATATTACCGAGTATCTGCTCAATAACCTGTCCGATCTGAAAAATCAAATTTTCAAGAACTTGGAGAGTGTAGCGCAGGGTGACCAAGAGGCTAACCACGTACAGCGCTTTCTCCCTAGAAGATCGAAACATTCATGATACTCCTCCCGGAGATGTAAGAGCAAGCGGCCTGCGCTCGATTTACCGGGCATACGCAAAAATTATTAATAAAAAAAAAAAAAAAAAAGCAGTTTACATAGTATTTATATTATTTTATTTGAAAAATTCTAATAAAATTTTTTTGATATAGATAAAACTTTTTTTTTTTAGGAGAGAGGAAGGGGGTATTATTCCATATC